ATGATGAACAGTATCGCGTGAACAAGACTTTTGTTAGATGTTTAACTCTAACCCTAGGACTTTTGCTCTAATACCATGAAAATAGGTATTTTTGGAGGAAAACATTTAGTCACCGTATTATGAGTGACCAACTAGTATTTATAGGAGTACAAACCTAACAAACTATTTACAAGTATACCCTTACTAATTTATTATCTACAAGAATATTTATATTCTCTTAACAGTTTCCATCTTTCTCTGATAGCAAGCTGCACAATCAGTACCTGTCTCTCGGTTAGAGAGCAAAATTTTCTTCCAGCGAGTTATCAGTTTCTAAACAAGATTTTCCTGCAACAAAACTTAATTTTTCTTGGCTAGAATCCAGCACACAGCATGCGTATTCAAGTGTACTAAATGATTAAGAGGTTATTACATAAATTTTCATCATTTATAGGCTGCAATTCAAACTACAGCTCTCAATTTCCTCCATTTCTATCCGACAGTTTCATTTCCTTCAAAACAGAATTTCACCTTTGCGAAGAGTCCATTTCTTTACTAAGTTCTCGTGCAGCTCATGTGATTTTCCAGTTACACCAAATAAACAGAAAATAGGTGCAGGTTCTTACCCTTTTCTCCTAAGAATTCGATGTTGCAGGCTGCTAAAATTTTCGGTTCTGGTTCCTCACTCTGAGCTCCAGTTTCCTTTGCCCTCTGACAGTATTCTCTCGTCTTTGTTTAGCTGGTGATACAGCTTACTAATCGTTTTTTGGCTCACACTCAGTTCCTCACCCTCGATCCTGTTTTTGTAAGATGCAAGAAAGAAAGAAAGAAAAGAAGCTGCCTGCTTCACTCCTCTGATCACCGCCTAAATAATGAGCCTGCTGTCTAGTTATTTCCTCTCGGTTGTTTTGTAGAGTTTTAATGTAAGAAAGACAACAATGCTACCTGAATCCTCTTGCTTTCGGTCACTCCTGCCTCAGCAAATGTTCCACCGCCCAGCTAGCAGGCCAACTCTTATTTGCTCCGCTCAATCACCGCTTGGACTTAGCAGATTATTGGCAGCTGTTTCTCTTCAGTTTTGTCTTTATTTAGAAGGCTTAAAGATCAGATGAAACAAATACTACTCGGTGGTAAAATTTTTCATTCGGTGCTCACCCTTCAAAGCTGCTCTATCAGTGACTAACTCTCCAAACCCTTCCTCCACTCGGTTTCATGTTTGAGAATTCTGATGCCTTCTTGGCCGCATGGTAGTTTATCCTTCTTCCAAGGTTAATTTAGTCTTTCAATTCTAGCTCATTTGCTTGCTAATGGTCTGTAATAATTTTTTTTTTAACACATTGACTTCAAATTTCATTTGTTCTAATTTGTATGTCCTTGGAAAATTTTCTTACGTTGATCTAGTAGATTTTCACACATTTGGCTTTAAGAAAAATTAATTAGTCATGTAACTTATTCAACTATATAATAAATTCAAATGACACAATTTTGCAATATGCCTATCATATGTTTATTTAATTCATAAAATTTTTCTACACTATTCTAGGATATTTTTTAAATTCTCAAATTTATAGGAATTTAATTAGACATTTAATTTAAGCATTTATTCGTTATATGTAATATTTCTAATATCAAAGTAGATAAAATAAAATAAATGCAAAGCATACACATAATTTTCTCGAATTCTCACAACTGCTTGAAGCAAATCGTGAAGACAACGGGTATAAAGGCTCTTATGACTAGGGGAAGAGCTCAGATGTGGACAATCTTGCTGACCAAGAAGAAGTTTCTCCTAGGTGCTTTACAGATGGCTTGTGTGGTTCTCCGGATAACGGACAACATGGAGATGATGGCCCATTGATACCGAAGGCATCACCAGAGATGGCTGTAAATGGATCTTGATATGCATCTTTTTGCTTCCTTTTGTGCTCACTACCTACATGATTGGTGGAATGGCGCCAATAGTCTATAGGCTTTGGGCGTTCGACTAACAGACAGGCACCGGTGAAAACCATTCCATCAACACTGCTATTCCATCACAAGAGAGGATATTGTACAGTGCCATTATTAGGGTGTTAAGAAATCATCCTTCCTTTTTAGTGTTTTTTCCTTTACAGTTTATTTGACTTATTGGTTCTTTTGTAAACATTTGTTAACTATAGTTTTCCCTTGTTTTTATTATTTTTGGAAGCACATAAAAAAAAAGACTTCTTTATTGGATCCACTGTAGATTTGCTCCTGTGTTGACCCTAAAATGACAAATACTTCATATTCCTTTTGTTGAAATTGCAAGATTCTAAGCACTTTTTTCGGGGTGCAAGCCAAATCTTAAACACAAAAAAAAAAAAAAAAAAAGCTCAAAAACCTCAAAGAGGATCAGGGGCAATAAATCTGTAGTTCAAGAAAAATTATAGAAGTTGATTCATCGTCTAACTCATGTGTTTAGTAAAAAAATTTGAATATCAGATATAGCAAATTAGTAATAACTTCTTCTCGTAGATGTAATTTAGTTTTCAAACATGTAAAGGTTGAGATAGTTAATAAGGATTGGAGATATATCCCCTCCAAAAAAAATAAATATTTTTATGAGGTTTTACATCACACCAAATTTTAAAAACATAATTACCCCATTTTCTGCAAGTATACAGATCATTTATCGAGTATAGGACATAATAAGTGTTAATCCCATAGGGAAGATTGTCAATTATCGACGGTTCTCGAACCCCTTTGTTATTTAAACTATGTCAAGTAAAACAAGTAAATTTATACTACTAGTATGAAACCAAAGTAATAAAAACAATAACAAAGACATTCCTAGAGTTATGGATTTACTAACTACTCTTGCAAGTGAAAACTATTGATTAAACGAATATTATTACCTTAACTAGTTATGACATAATTTCCTAGTCTATATGAAATCTACTCTCGTAGTGAATCAACTATACTTGTAGTTAAACTAGACCTACTTTTGTGATGATGAAATTAACAACAAGTTTATGTTTTCTATGAAATTACATGGAACAATGATACCAAGGCCATAAAAGTGCATCTCTATTCTTGTGAGTATACTCTCTATCTTTAGCACTTAGTGTTAAATTTCGAATCTCATTTTAAATCTAACACCTTGAGATTATCACTACTAATGACCAATTAATCATGATTAGCTAAGAAAAAGTGCTAAATAATTTGTTCAAAATCATAGTATCAAATAACCAAGTAAACATCACAAACAAGATATAGAAAGTTTATTCATAATTCTAGGAATATACTTAAGCAACACATAATGAACTTAAAATCCAAACTTGTATAATAACTAAACAATAGAATCCAAAACAAAAGACAAAGAGTTTGGAAATAAATGTAACCCTTATCACATGAATTCATCTCCTCCATCTTCTTCTTCTTCTTCAACTTTGCCTAGCTACTCACAAGAGTGGATGATGCACCACTATCTAAACTATCATACTCTATCCTAAAAACTAAGAAATATGAAGACTACATTTTGAAGTGAACAAGTGTCTTGACCTCTCCAAGCTTAGCTCCCAAATAAAGCAACAAGCCCCTGTTTATAGAGGAATCCTCTACAAGTTTCCAAAACTTCCATTTCTCCGACACATAAGAAAGCCTTCATCTCCAATGTGAAAACTTGAAAAGAATCTTCCAAAAAGTCCACAAAAGTTGCTAAAAGTTGATTCCAATGATGAGAGTTGCTAAATATTGACAAAAGTGATTGTCTTAAGTTTTGAACCTTGCCATCAAGTTAATTTTCCAGCTCAAAAGTGAAAGGAAGAAAGATGCATCAAACTGGACAAGTTGCACAAGTTGTGTAAGTTGTATAGCAGCATTTCGAATGAGAAACCAGACCCTAGACAAGAATTGTTTTGGAGAGCCGGTTTCTTCTTCGGCAACAAATTCCAACCAGCTTCTCAACCGTTCTGCCTCCAAACCTGACTCCAGCCATTCCTTGTCAGAAATAGTTTCTTCCCCTATATTTGAACCCATGAAAATGATTGAATCACCTTGTATTCTAAACATAAAATTTACCTCTGAGATAGCTTTCCAATGGCGCAAGAACCATGTCAATTGGAAGTGTGGATGCTAAGATATGATCAAAATACTGAGAATTGGTCAGAAAGCATTGCAATAGAAACTTGCTTCAGTAATTCAGATATTTGATTATGAAATCATGAGAACTGGATTTAGATATCTCACATGAGAATTGTAGAGCATTATCTTAGCTTCAAAATAAATGAACAGTCATCTCAATCCAATCTTTGTAACTCAAATTATGACCAAATTATCGAAATGTGTCATGTCCTCCAATCTTTCCTCTTCTTGTTTCTTCATTATATCATCATTTGTATTTCATATCAACTTCAAATATACTTCAAATCATCAAGTTTTATGCAAATAATCCATTTGTAACTTTATTTGATGGTTGAAACATTAAAACCTACAAAACATGAAATTTTTATCACTTAACGTGATAGAAATGCAACTTTCTTACAGCAACTTTTTGACTATAAAACTAATTATTCAACTCTATCTTAACTAGAAACACACTAAAATACACGTAAATGATCATACAAAAATACATAAAATAATCACTTATCATTTTTCTTAAATGATTCCTCTATTAATCCGTTACTGTTCTTATGGTGCTTGTAATATGCAGCCAAGCAACACTGTATTGCAAATGCTTATTGAAATTGAGTGGACCAATACAGTAAAGCAAACCAATAAGCAGCTCATTCAGTTTAAACTTTGGAACCTAAACATCAGGGTGGCACCAATGAAATTAATTTTTTAACTGGCTTATAGTTCTTTGATGTTTAGACATTAAATTACACCTTAACTCCTTTCTTCCCGTTTTCGTTATTTATCCCATATTTTACATTGCAATTGGTATTTCTTTCCTTAAAAGAGTACTAATGGACTCTAACGAACCTGTTTATAATTTAATGGCTCATGGCATTCTGAACAGCAAAGAAGCTTTTCTTTCCAATCTGGGCAAGAACAAAAGAAATGCTACTTGAAGTGATCAGAAAAATTGGAGATGATAGTAATATATTTATACAGGCAAAAGCCATCCAGGAATGTTCAACATATGACAAAAGCATATCAAGATGAGGTAATGTTAGATCCACAGCTATCTTTTGTCATAACCAAGTCCCAACTTCTTGACCTTTCTGTGGCGTTGCAGCAGCTGCCACCAATGTAGTTTTGCTGATGCCTTCTTGCCTTCCTTCCTGCCTTTTTCAATCTGCTTCTTGTGCTTTGCAGATGGTTTTGATTCTTTGGAGTGCCGGATATGCTTGAAGAGCCTTCCTACAAGAGCATTGAAATGGTTGTGTTGATGTCTACGATCTCGACTATGGATAACTGATTTCCCAAGTTTTTTAAGTGCCTTTTCTCCATAAGCCTCTGTTCTCATAGGATGGGAAGATTTTTTCACATTGTTCTTCAACCAAATATTTCCATGACCCATCCTGGGTTCATCATTACTGGAATGGTCATTATTAGAATGGTTGTGATGGTGATGGTGATGGTGATGGTGGTGGTGGAAGATGACTGATAGCTTGTCTTTTAACTTCTTCCATTTTCCAATTTGTTTCTTGGCAGTCATCCCTTTATCTGATTTGTACACCCTGGCTGGACTGAACTTCTTGGATGTTGAACCAAGTGATAAATATCTCGGCTGCCTGTGATGCCGAACCCTTTGCTGGTTGTACACTGAATAATCTTCATCCTCGCTTTCAGTATAATGAATGGGAAACACTTGATCAGAGCTAAAACTGCTTGGGCATGAGCTTTTCAGCCTGTCATCACTACTATTTGGAGTTACTGGGCAAGATCCATCACTGCTAGACCATGAGTAAGTGAGATCACTACTGCTTTCACCTGCATAATATCCTTGCCTTCTGGGATGTGGGGAGTAAAAGTCATTTTCACTGCTGCTTGTAGAACTAACATGCTTCTGTTTCCGTATATAACTTGGGAGATAGTATTCTTCACTGTCACTATTAGACATGCTGGTTTGCTGACTTGTCCAGTTTGAGGAGTTTGAACTAAAGGATGTATCTTCTGATTCATCCTGATCCTGAATCTTTGATGGAGGATATTTGCAGTCAGCGGTTTTTCGAACTCCAACCCGATCTTTGTCCATCTGTTGTGAGTTTGAGGTTAACAATGCAGGAAAATCTTCAAACTTGTGATCCAGCAAAGGACACTGCTTGTTTATTCGCAAAGGCAAAGCTCTTTTGCTCCAAGACACCGAGGTCTTATCCACCTTGCATCTAGAATCAATTCCCTGAATATTTTCACGATTCATGTAATCTTTAGATACCCTAGATAGTTTAGGCGTTTGGCATGCTCCAGGCTTGATGATATAATTCTCCGTGCCCATTTCATTTTGATGCAGAATTTTCTCATTAATCTCTTGTTGTAAGCAGGTGGCCAAAGGTTTTGAGATCTTGTCCCCATCAGTCCAAGAACCGTTACATTTATCAATTTGAGTTGAAATTAGACAATTACCACTGGATGTTTCACTCAGTGACTCAATTTTGGCCACAGTGGGGTTGACTTTCTGACTAAATACCAAATCTGCCATCTGATGCTGCCCCTTGATTTCTTCAGATACATTTCCAGTTCTAGTTGGAACATACTGAGCCGCTGCAAGGCCAGTGCAGCTCCCAATTGTTTGACTACTAACTGGGCTTGCCATGGTTTTTGTAGGAAGAAGCAGGTAAACAGGCTGAGTAGCAACCAAATTCTGTAGCTCCATTTCTGTTGGCAAACCTGTTGATTGGCCAGGCTGCTGATACTGTGGACCAATTTCTTCACATTTTCCATTCTCCACTTCACTCAACAGGTCATTTCTGCACCTGGCACATAATACAGTCTGACGGGGTTCACTTCCTGTGACTATCAGAGATTTTGCCAATACAATAGAAGTTGACTCCACCTTCGGAACAAAATCAGTCACCATATTAGGTAATTCGTTTGGAGCTTCACTGTGCATAGGAACTATAGTATTTTCAGAAGGGGGTGAATGTCTAGAACCTCTTTTCAAATCCAAGATGCACATTTCGATCTGTTTGATGACATCTGAAGCTTCGTTGGATAATTTACAAAGATCCTTAGATTCCTCTGTGCTTACTGCAGTCAACTCAGGTACAGATTGTGATTCAATGAGAGCAGTAGCTGGCCCGTTTGAACAAGAGTCCATTGATCTAATGCTACTTGAGGAATAATCAAGATCAGTAGGTCCTCAAACCAAAGTACAACTTAAATACAGAGCAAGGTACGAATTCAAATGCTTCTAATATAAAACACAAAAAAACATTAGAGAGAAAAACTAGAAAGGGTATTATCATGCATATTATTATTCAACACCAAAAAGTTGACATAACTTGGTTTAATTGTGAAAATGATGGAAGAAAATATGCCCGTGCAAAACAACATAAAATAGGTAACAATAGAACTGAATATGAAGTGCAATGTTTAATTCAATTTCATTTTTCTTGGTCGTCAATCCTACTATTGCATATAGTTTACTTTCCAAACTCAAATATTGAGTTTCAGCATTTTTAAGCAATTCATAGTATAAATGCATCTTTTTAAATTTACATGTGCGTGTCTACACATTTGTTCTAACTTTACAGGTCTTAGGTACGTATGCTTTACCTTTCTCATATAACAAATTATTTGCACTAGGTGAAGCTAAAACTATGAAGGCGTTTAGCTAGCTGCGAAATTGCATGGAAAAAATCCAAACTTTTAGGACCCAAGTAACAAAATTATGCCCCAACTGAAAGGAACACAAAAAAGAAAAATTATGGCTCCACCATGGTACTTGTATATTCTCCATATGTACAGTAAATGTACACTGGGTAACTTCACTTGTGCGTGAGAAATGTATAAATAAAACCTCCATGATTTATCCTGGGCATTGCCTCAGAAATGTATAACTTATTCACAAGTTTAAATTGATGAGTATTCTCCATATGTACAGTAAATATACACTGGGTAACTTCACTTGTGCGTGAGAAACGTATAAATAAAACCTCCATGATTTATCCTGGGCATTGCCTCAGAAATGTATAACTTATTCACAAGTTTAAACTGATGAGTATTGTTCACTGAGCTTGGAAATCGGCCGTAGCTCTCTACTGCCTATTGTCCATAGACCGATGGGCAGACTAGAAGGTTGAACAGAAACAGTTGAAGTTAAATTAATTGTTCAAAAACAACCTAATTAATGCCCAAAACAGAATGAAAGAGGCAGCAGACGTGAGCAGAGCTGAGAGAAGCTTTCAGAGGAGTGATGTAAAATTACTGGCAGAGTTCAGTGGCTGTGAGGAAGAACCTTAGGTTCTCATCTAATTAATATGGCCCTCGGATATTGCAGAGAATTGGGAAAGCAGTCTATAGTTAGGAGCTGCCAGAGTGGGCACAAATCCATCCAGTTTTTAATGTTTCCATGTTATAAAACTCACAAGAAATACTCTGTTTGACCTACATTACCTCAAGTGACTGATATAATTAACATTGAACTTGAAGTGATTATGGCCATGAGGGGTCATCAAGCGGAAATACAAGATGTAGAGAAGTATCAATCAGGACAGGCCACAGGGGAAGATTGTAATGCATTACACTCTCAATTTCCAGAATTTGATCCTAGGGATTAGGATAATGCTAAGGGGGAGGAAATTGCAAAAGTAATATCAAGCCACTATAAAAGTTAAGCCATCAGAGAAAGAAGAGAGAAAAAATAATGTTATGATAGACAAGCAAAAATTTATATAATCTACGTCATGATCAACAAGAACAAACACTTAGCAAATAATGGAGCAGTTAAATATATATAAAAAAAAAGATAAGAAACACAAAAAACATGAAAGCCAAAAATCTAAACAAAGTTTAATGTTCTCTCTAATCAAACACATGCAAGCACACACACTTTTGCTCACACGCACGCACACACAAAATAAGAGGGAAACCGGCCAGTAGTGAAGAGAAAATGCAACTGATGGGATTCCCTATGGGGATGCTTCAGCTAATAACTAGGTTGCAGACTTAAACTAGTAACGAAGATAAAAGGTCACCTCTGGCTTTAGGCAAGAGAAATGCAACTGGTGGGATTTTGCTTGGACATTACGAAAAAGAAAAAGCTTGTGTGATTTTGTTTGGGGTTGTATGAGAGCAAAACAAGAAGTGTGATTGCATGCGGTACCCCAAACTCATTTGCAAATAATCCAGAATTTTACACAAACAGATATGAGCTGAAGGGAAGTAATCAAGTCAAATCATACTGAACTTTTCAAGCTCGACTTGCCAGAAAATATGGTTACTCAAAACTGAAGCTTGAGCACGTCAAATACCTTGTCATGCAGCTCCTTGAACGTGACTTTACTTGAGCTCAATTCCGAGTTCAATGAAGCCTTCTTCCTTATTAAATTAGATAAAAGCCAAAAATAATTAACTAGTTGCATTACAATCATCAACCATCCATTGTGCATAAAGCCAAAATTCCATCTTTCACACAATTTTCGAACAAAATATTGATTACAACTAATATACAAACCAACAGAATACTAAACTTGATACAATGGAAGTGAGCAAATTTAATATCAAACTTAGCTGCCAAAAACAAACTGAAATTCAACAATTTGCATCACTTAGCTATACATTTATGTCAATTGGCAGAAATTGAAGGTCGAAAAGAAATGAAGTTAAAGAATTACCTTAAAATACCAGTTGAGAAAGATAGAAATACTTGAGCCTTCACAAATTGCAATGAAGAAGCAAAAGTTGGAACCTAAAGTGAGCAACAAAGTAAAGTTTGAGTTTAATATGCAGAAAGCAAAAAGACATTATTAGTTTAATGGTAGAATCTTGTTCAAAAGGTAACCGGTTCAGCAAGAGAATTTAATGAATCTGACGCAGAAAGACTACAAAAGGGCAAAAAGCCCAAAACCAATATTGCACTTTCATCTGATCAAGTGACATATCAATTGCATCAAACTACTTCAACATAGTTCATTGAGGAATCTGCAACTGCAACAGCTAAATCATGAAAATTTCATCTAAAGACAGCAAAGATGGCATGCAGGACGCAAAAAATCTCCAAAAATATCATATGAGCTGTTTGGTCAAACAAAGAAATAAAAGAAAAAATAATTTTAAAAAAAAAGCACCACAAATTTAGCAATTCACAAACCAAACATGCAATGAGAAAGTTATCTGCAATTCATCTAGACACAAGGAAAGATTGCATCCACGATGCTGGAAGAGTAAACATCCGCAGAAGACCTAATTGACCAATAGATAATAAGGAATCGAACAAGAACAAACCATCACTAAAATAGCAGCCAACAGGCCAACCACGCAATGAGCAAATATCAGCAATTCATGCAAAGACGGCCAAAATTAACATGTACAATAGTGAAAAGATTAAAAGACAAAAACTTTAAAGAGCATAAACAAATAGACCAGCATAAGGAGTCGGAGATAATGGAACCTAAGTAACAATCACAGGCAAGAATAGCTCAGGCGCCGGTCTAATTTGAAAACTGAACGAGCAAAGACAAGCCACGACAGAAGAACTTATCAAACTCAACTGTTCGCATAACAGCAAGCGAGTGACAACCTTTCTATATCGTGGTTTGCCAACTCGGCTGAGTCGTAACCGGCGGGACAGGTATACCATATCCTATTCGAATCAGCTGATATTGACCGAGTTATAACCGTGTAACAGGATACCAGCCAAAATCTCAGATTCGACTCGGATATGAATTGGCCAAATTATGAACAGCAAACAAAACATCTAATAATTCACCTTTTCTTTTTTAACTTTTACCGAAACCAAACAAAACATGAACAGAGAACAAAAGGCCACAAAAGGCCTGCACCAAGCCAATTATTGTCCTACAACTACAAAGGACAAGGGACAGGAGCAGTTGCAGGTGCAACCATTTTTGGCGATTTTGATCATTTTTAACGACGCATTACTTTGGTTGCACACAGCGTAACTTTATTTGTACAATGTGTAATTTTAGTACAAAATTTTGCAGGTCCCACATACGTTGTGAAAATCGATGTACAACTAGTGACCTGGACGTACTGTTTTTTTGGCCAAAATCTGGCCGTGAACAGTTCAGAATGACCGCTCCTGCCCCTCATCCAACTACAAAAGGCCGTGCACCCACAAAAGGCCGTTGCAGAGAGTCCTTCCTCTCATGCTTTCTAGTTTTCTTTTTCAGCCAAAAAGACAAGGGAAAGGGGAAGGGGAAGATAAGGGAAGATAAGGGGAGAAACGTACCGTCAATTTCTGTGTGCTTTTGCAGAGAGGGAATATCTTCAGGTTTGCAGAGAGGGAAGGAGAAAACAGAGCAAAATGGAAAGGGCAAAGAAAGAATGAGGGTTACGGCTAAATATGGAGTGATTATTTGGAGAAGCGTACTTTCAATTTCTTCATCGTCTGGCTGTGAAGGAAGGAGAAAAACAGAGGGTGACGGCAGGGAGGGAAGGAGAAAACAGAGCGAAAGGGAAAGGGAAAAGAAGGAATCAAATCTGAAAAGGGATCAGATTCCACTCAAGAATCAAATCTAGTGCCTTTTTTTGTTAATTTTCAGTCCAAACTAAGCACACCAAGAAGAGATTTGACGTTACAAATGATCCTTTTAACTAAGATAAAAGAACATGCCCGATTGGAAAAGCACAAAAAAAAAAAAAAAAAAAGACACATGGATCAAAGGAAAATATGACTTCTAACATTGATTAAACGTGACAATAAGTCAGGAACAAGAGCAAAACCGGATCAGAAAGGGTAATCGATAATAGCAATCTGTGCAGAATAACAAGGAACAGCACAATGATTATTCAATGCAAAAACCAGAATTAGAGAACAATTTCTGAACAATTTCCGCAAATTTAATTACAAGATGGAAAAAATAAAGAAAAAAATTACCAGAGGAGGACAGCGGGAAACTGAAAGAAAAAAAAAAGAATTTAGGAATTTGGAGGAATGTTAAACGGTCACGAAGAACAGAGGCGCCCTTCAAATTCTTGGGAAAATTTCTTTAAAAAAGGAAACGGGAAGGTTTCAAATTTGAGAGGCGGGTATTGGGTAAGTTTTGATAAATTTGCAAGGGGTTAATTTTAGAAACCACCCCTAAAGTTTCTATCAATATCACTAGCCTCACCCAAGATTTTAGACATAACCTTGCATCCCTAATTGATATATTTCTGTAACATATTAGCCAAGTGAGATTAAAAAGTTAATTTCAAGAGAAAAAAGAAAAATTTGACCCCCAAATGCCATTTTGGCATCTTGAAACAAATGGCTGTGGAATTTTTTGATGTGGAAGAGTAAAAAGCCAACAGTCATTGCATGGTCGAACAGTTGAATATAAGAGTAAAATATAGAGCGTTTTTGAGTTTATTTGGCTTCAAATCTTATTAAGTGAGCTCAGAGTTGATGTCTCTCCTCTTATGAAAATAAAGCATCACATTCCCTCTAAAATGGCTTTTCAAGTATTGATTTTTTTACAAATCTAATTATTAGCTTAAACAAATACTATCCCCTGTAATTAGGGGTATGTAGCAATTGCTACATGTATTTCATTTTTATGTGATACTTCTTTTTTCTTTCTTCATTGTGCATATAAAAAATTTCTTTTGATGCTCAAACACATGCTTTTTTCTTCTTATTATGGAAACTTTTAATCGTCATTATCGCCTTAAATTGAAAAGTTTTTAGTATGAATTATATATAATTTCTATTGGCAACCCCATATTATGGGTTAGATGTCAATAAGAACAAAAGTCATATATTCAACTAAAATATTTCACTTTCAATTTTATTTATTTTTTGTCCAACTTTCTTGTCAACATTTAATTTCATGCTTAATTGTATATTACAATTTTCTTAGGGAAATACTTGTAAATTAATATAAAAATTTGAAATTATAGATTTAGCACAAAAATTATTAAATTTTTTTATTAATGTTATTTATTATTAGTACATCAAGAAGTTATTATTTAATTTCAAATAAGAACTAAGTCAAAGATAAATAGGTTATTAATAAAAAAAATCAAAATGACATAAGCTACATTAAAAATGAGAGAAAATGCTAAAGGAAATCAGAAGTTTATTTTGAACATGTTCACTGGAATAGAAAATAAGACTCATAGGCAGCATCAAAAAAAGAATAAGAAATAGAATAAAAAAGAACGAAAGAAAGAAAAAATTTTAAGTTAAACTTATAAGAAAAAAGCATATAGCCGATTGTTGGTCTATCAATTGGACATAACTATGAATAACAAAATTCAACAAATGAATTTGCAAGTTAAAGATAGAGAGCACAAATGCTTATTATCAACAAAAAATTAAGTCAACCAAAAAAAAAGAAATGGTAAAAAATCAACACAAAAGAGAAATGAAGAGAAAAGAATCTATTTCTTTATGTTAGCCATTTCTCACACCATAGAAATTAATAAATCCATTCCATTTTCTAGAGCATTCATTTGCACCCTTATTATCATATTTACAAATATATAAATTCTTCAAATGAATTTGAGAAAAGAAGAAAGGCAAATAAAACTTATAATTCACATTGTATTCAAAAAAAAAATATAGCCCATAGAAAAGAGAACATCAACTTCTATGGTGAGCAACTTGATTGTGTTCACCTTCTAAAAAAGACATTATTTAAACCATTTCATCCATTTAATTAGTCAAATACTTATCATTTCCTAAACAACGCAGTCTTTGCATACCGATAAAACCAAAACTTTGAGCATACTTAAGTCATTAAAATATAATACAAGGCTATCATAGTAATTTTCTTCTACTAGCTTTTGTACTTGTATCGGCAGCCAAATAATAAATTTAAACATTGAGAAATCTATGTATATAGCATACCAAACATCTTACTAATACAAATATCGCATTGTAGGCGTAAATCAAACTTACTAATATAAATCTAAGAAAAATAGATCCCAAGAGTTAAATTTCACTCACTTCAACTATAAAAATGTTTTCTCAAAAAGTGTTAAATAGCTGTCTACAAAAGATAAATATGGCAAAGTAATGAGTTATTAACGAAAAAGTTTATTAAAAACAGTCAATCCACATCATTTTGCTATAAATTTCTTACCTCTAAAGAGTTGTTGGAAATGTCAAGTTGGAAAATGAAACTACCTAAGCAAAAGAAAGGAAAAAAAAGTTAACTATTTCAGCTAACTCACCATATTCTGACTGAGTGTTTCTAAGCAATTCTCACAAACTTTAGGCTCTGTTTGATAAAACTGAATCTGAATTCTGAACTCTGAATTCTGAATTCTGAATACTGAAACAATTAATTTGCTGAATATTAAGCACTGAAAAGAGATATATGAATATCTGAATCTTAATGCTGAACATATTTATACTGTTTGATAAACATTTATAACTTAATGCTTAATAAGCTAAATTGTACAATTTTGCCCTTCTATCTTTTAATCCAAAAAGGAAATAGAACCTATGATTTAATTAGCTTAAAATTGTTAGGTATGAAAATGACAATATTTATATTTAAATCAAAGTACTATAAAAGAAGAAATATATTATGGAAAGTCCAAATATCGGTGCAAATATATTTTTAAATCAAAGTTTGATAAGAAAAGTCCAAATATAAGCAAAAGGAAGCTGCAATAAACAAGTTTTAAATTCACACCAAATTATATAGAAATTTAATTACTTCAATGGAAAAATGTTGACGCAAAACAACAAATAATCAATTGGAAATAATGAATTTGAGATCGGTGAGTACGGTAGCAATAAAAAAAATTGGGAGGAAAAAAATGACAAAAATATGAAAGAGTAGAAAGATGGAAAAAGATAAGGAGTAGACAAATGTGAGAAGCATAGAGAAATTGTAAAAAAAATCATTAAATAGAGAGAAAATAGAAGTAGAAAGCTATTAGACAGAGAATGTCAATTGTTTAATTAGATAAGGATTTTGAATGTAATTAACAAACAAGGATAGATTTGGTAGATAAGATAAAGTAGTTGAAGTAAATCTCTTGATTCTTATCAAATTAAGCATTCAGTTATGATTCTTGTGCTGAAAAAAATACATACAAATTCAGCACCACTTAATAAGTTCAGCAGAAAAATTTTTATTTATCAAACACCCAAAACATCTGAATGTCTGAATGAATTCAGTTTCAGCACTTTTTTATGTTATCAAACAGACACTTAGTTTTGAAATACAAACCCACTAACTACACAGTAAGAGAATCCACAAAATATTTCACACCTAAGGCCTTTAAAATAATAGTTAAAATGAAACTCCTGATAATTACCATCCCTTTTTCCATCTTTAATAGAATAACCTTAAAACATATAAGTGTAATTTTTATTAGAACAATGATGGAAAAGAATGAGAACATAAAAAATGCAATAATTTGTATAGTAGTGGTGAGAACTTTTACACTAAGATGCACCTAACCTTTGGGCACCATATTAGTATTTTAATTATGTCCTCCAAAGTTGGAGTACAAGAGAAACTTGTACACAGAAATTTATTTTCATCCTCGCAACATTCATATAATTGAATCGTGCCATTGATGTCCAATAAAATTTATATTAGTAGATTTTTCTAAGTATGCTTAAATTGTAATGGGATGATCTGCAAATCTTAATTAAAATACATCTTGTTCAAGAAAAATGTAATATCTAAGAATGGACATAATCATATGCAAAAATAAATACTAGTCTCTATTCAAATAAAACTTTTCAAATAATTTGAGACGCAAGTAACACACTACTTTAAGTTCTCCTTTATTCATCCACATCACAATGTTTCACTTTGGATTTGGAGTTACATTTTATGTCACAAACATTTGCGTTAGTGAACTTTTTAGTATCTAACTTGTTTTTTGGTGTACTCTAACTTTTGAAAAGCATGGTTTGGCTTTTGATTCAAAGAGAAAAAGAAAAAAGAATGATTCGTTCTGTTCTCTCTCTTTTTTTAATATGGTTTACAATTGAAGGAAAATGTTGATACTTGTATCTATAAAATTGCAATAAAGAAGGTGAATTCATAAAATCATATGCAAGAAAAGACAAGAAATGGAGTATCATAAAAGGGACAAAGAGAGCACATAGAAAATTCTTCAAAAGTAATTTACAAGAACAATGTGATATTTCTTGTAACTTACTTTTGGTGGACACCATTTTCCTTTCAGCAACTCTTGAGAAACACCTCAAAATAAAGAGAAATCAAATATATTTTGGGAAAATGATTTCAATCAAAGACATTTTCAAAATGAAAACATTTTAAATTGAACCAAATACACCATTAATGAACTGTAACATGCATTGCATGAAGTTTCACATCTATTCCTTCCCTTGGAGCTCTTTTTTTTTTTTTTTTGGAGGAGGGAGGGAAATCAAACATGTACTATATCATAGCAAAAGAATTCGACAAACTCATTAGAAGAATACATAGAGATATAATATATAGTGAAGATTCTTTCACTTTTAGTAATATGTGAGAAACAAAAAATGTGAATGTAAAGA